CATCAGATCAAGAAGATGCCAAACTGATACCGCGATCTCCACCCCGAGCTGAAGGAAAGCAGGCAGATAAAGACCCAGGTCGGGAGAAAAGAAGGGACAGGAGGGATCAAGGTCGCTCCAGACCGTATCCCGACAAATTTCCCGAATACCATTCTTTGAACACAACTTTGGAGGAAGTCTTCTTGCAAGGAGGAGAAAAGGAAACCTTCCGCCGACCTCCACCTTTGAAAAAAGAACCTGCTGGAAAATACCAAGGAAAATACTACCGTTACCATAAAACCGCAGGACATGACACAGACAACTGCAGACACCTGAAAGAAGATGTGAAGTCTCTCAGTAGACGAGGCCACCTACAGGAATTTGTGGCCAAACCCCGGGAATCTAATCCAGTCGGGGCTCAGCATCCTGACCCACAAAAGGTTGTCCTCCAAGGACGGTTAGTACCTCAAGTGCGCGATGCCCAATACCGAGCTGAAACTAAATTGTTGATAAGTGGGAATCAATGCCTAGTAGGATCACAAAGAGCTCGACGAAGGATAGTGCGAAATGCCCGGGTGTGGCAGAATTACAGTATTGCGCACCTGGAAATAGAGTGCAATACCCCACCGGACATAGAATGGTTCGGATTTTCAGAGAGAAACGCGCAAGGGATCCTTCAAGATCAGAGTGATGCACTAATTGTGACCATGGCCATTGCCGGAGTACAGATACATCGAACCCTGGTGGACAACGGGAGTTCGGTGAATATATTATACTCCCGAACTTTGGAGCTAATGGGGATATAGGAACGTTACTTACAACCATACCCCAGGAGACTGCAGGGGTTCTCTGGAGACCCTATTAATGCACGAGGCCAAATAGTGTTAAGTGTGGAGTTGGGCGACCCTCCTTGCCAAAGGAGGATCCTGGCAGACTTCATCGTCGTGGACCTACCTACCAACTATAATGTCATACTAGGAAGGCCCATATTGCATGAGCTACAAGCAGCCACCTTAATATATCATTATTGCGTCAAGTTCCCAACAACAAGTGGTCCAGGGATGATGCGAGGGAATCAAGCCGAGGCTAGGACCTGCAATGTCGATTTGCCCAAACCTCAGGTCCGAATGTTGAAGGACTAGCGCCTTCAGCAGGCTGCGATCTCGGTCCCCAGAACCCCTGTTGTAGTCGACCTTGCTAAGATCTGTATTAATGAAAGGCATCGCCGAAGGGTCAACGACGACCTGCTCTCCTTTGAAGAAAAAGAAGCATGCACAAATCCCAACCCTAGGTATTGGTAGTTTCGGTGCTACTA